CTCTTTTTCTCTCTTTCATTCTCTTTCTATCTCTATCTTTTTATCATGTCGACAAGTGGTTTTCATCAGAGACAAAAAAAATGTGATCCTCATAACAATTGTGAAAGAGAGAGAGAACGAGAGAAAGAGAGAGAGAGAGAGAAGGAAAGAGAAAGAGAAAGAGAAAGAGAGAGAGAGAGAAAGAGAAAGAGAAAGAAAGAGAGAGAGAGAAAGAGAAAGAGAAAGAAAGAGAGAGAGAGAGAAAGAGAATAAAGAAATAAGTATAAGAAAGAGAAAAAAAATATTTTGATTGGGAATGAAATAATATGAAGAAAGGAAAGAGTGAAAGAAAAAATGAAAAAATATAGAGATATAGTCGATTATTCTCGCATGACTTTTGCAAGGTTCTCTTCCTACGTGCTAGCTCCGATCACACGTCCGAATCGTTCTCCGACCGGATGCCGATCGTTATTCCTTTCGTGAGAGTGAATCGTATCTATCGTGTCGTTGTTTAAAAAAAAAAAAAAAGAAAAAAAAATTAATTCTTTCAACAAGCAACTAAGCGATATTTTCGATTGATATCTATATTGCATAATTAACTTTTATAATTGTTCTAGATTTTGTTTCGAATCTTTACGAATTTATTGATAGAATGCATAGATCAAATATTGGATTCAAAAATTATATATTCATTCTCTCTCTCTCTCTCTCTTTCTTTTTCTTTCTTCCTTTCTTTTTCTTTTTTTTTCTTGTTCAAAATGTAAGACTTTAGAATCGAATTTTTTCAATGATAGATTATAATGCGCTAAAGCCGTTACCTAAGTTTCGATTGAAACGAAATCGAAATCGTAATATACTGGTTAACAATGGCGAATCAAACAACGAAGAAGGAACTCTTGGAGGAGAGCCTGCATCATCATCATCCGGAGGGCAATGAGGAAGAGGTTGACAAAGAGTGGGAGGAATTTACGAGACTGATGGCCAAGTTGAAGGAAAATCGGCGAAATAGGCCGCATAGGTAGTGATCAATCGTTTAATTTTATTTTGCATGGGATATCGTTGTTAAAAAATTTTTGATTATAGGATAAAAATTTTTCATTTATCAGTTATCTATTAAACATCGTTTCATTCTAATAGATCATTTGTAAAATATTTTATTTTATATTTCTAGATTATATCTGCAAAACATTGTTATTTCATAATCTGTAAAAATATTGAATTTTCAATTGGTAGATTATCTATAATACATGGAATATTAGATTCGTAAATTATCCATAAAATATTGTGAATCTTTTCGTAAATCATTTATAAGACATTGAATTCCCTATTGATAGATAATTTGTAAAACATTGAATTTTCAATTGATAAATTATCTATAAAATGCTAGAATCTTTTATTTAGTAGATTTATCTGTGAAACATTGTATCTTCCATTCGTAAGGAATCTATTTAAACATTTTTTTTTCAATTTTTTTCTTTTTCTTTTCGTGTATCTCTTCTTATAATTTCTTACAAAATATTGAGAAAAATCTTTTTATCAGACCTTCACAAGCCTTCTACCCGTGTCCTCTACCAAGTCCTGAAGAGGAGCAACAGGATTTCGATCCCTTCGACTATATAAACACGATTGTAAGACATGATTTATCTGTTTCTCACAAATCTCATCGCCAGCATGAAGGAATGTTTGAAAAGGAACAAAGAATGTAATAATATTAGCTTTGGACAAACATTGCGAAAGTTTTTTTCCCCTCTTAGCAAAATAGTGGAATGTGAAAGAAAAAAGAAAAAGTTGGAAATTACGAGGAAAAATCGCCACTTTCGGATCTTCTCTCTTTTCTTCTTTAGAGAAATTTCTAGACTATGATTTCGTTTCGTTAGACACTAGGTAACTTCCTTGGGGGAGGATGAAAACGAACGATGCCAATGAACGCCAGTCTGTTTTATAATTAAATCGTCGTTGTTGCCGCTAGACGAATCGCAGACGAGCGATCTTTGCTTGCCAACGAGAACAATACTCATCTTTTTTTCATTTTTTCCTTTATATATTTTTATAATTTTTACATAATTCTATTGATCAATTTCTTTGATATCATCTTTTGTATTAAAATTTTCTACAAAAATTTTTTTCTTTTCCGACTAAGTTCTACAATAACGATGAAAATTATTCAAAATATTAGAAATGATTATTCGATAAAAAATATTGATGAAAATTAAAATTATATATATATATATATGCATATAAAAAACAAGAATAAAATATATCTCATTAATTCGAGATTGGACAATAGTTAAAATTTGGAATAAAGATGATGAATTATGATTGGTCCAGGAGATTTTCCACGGACCATAAAGCGACAAGCGGCACGATGGTCAAAGTGGCACGACCTTTGAACGATCGCCAAGTGAACGAGGCTGCATTTGAAATAAACGTACCGCGAGATATATGTATGTCGTCACGTGACTCGATTTTAGATGCACCGCGTGATTCGCGTGAAACAATCTTCGTGAACGACACGTTTAGATTATAAGTTCGAATTGCGTTAGATTCATTTCTTTATCTTTTTCTATCTGTATCTTTCTCATTTCTTTTTATTTTTTTCTTTTTTAATTTGATTTGATTTGATTTTTTTTTATTTATGCAAATCACGAAAACGTCACACATGTCAATCACAAAATTTACACGCATCCACGAAATCGGTATTTTTAACTCTCTATAATATCATGTAATTTTGATTTTTCAAATTTTATTTTATCCTTTTATCACAAAATTATTATATTATAATTAATTCATCATGAGAAAATCAATATTTGTTAATTATATCAATTATATTTATACTATATTTATTTCATATTATATAATTTTTTGTTAACTAACTGTATTATTTAATTTATTTTATTTTATAATATCTGACTAACTATAATTATATTAATATGAAAAAATTTATATTATAAATTTTATATAATATAATTTTTTATTTAGACAATTATTTTATTTAAAAATTATTTAAATTATTTGATACAATTATATTAATGTATGAATTATATTATAAATTTCGCGTTAATATAATTTTTGTTGGACACAAAAAAAGATAAAAAGAGAAACAAAATTGAGTTATAGAGGGTTAATTAATCATATGGGGTCTTTCGAATTAAATGAATAAATTTTATCTATGATCGTAAAGTTTGGAGCGCAGTTAGAGTTTGCAGACTAGTCAACCTTGTCTAGAGAATATCATCGACCTTGCAACTTTAACACATTGTAAGCGCGCGCGCACGTGCGGTGTCCGATCTTTCTAATAAATTTCAAAAGATTTTGCAAGCTTATGGGGCATGCGTGATCAGTATAAAACATATCATTTCATTTAGGATAGGAAAATACAAAAAATCGTTCTATTTTGTATATGCATTTTGATATACTCGCATGAGCTTAGCTTTCTTTCTATTAGCCTAATTTTATAAACCAAACCTTTTTTTTATATCTAATAATTTATACAATCCGAAACTTATAGTATAACTTCAATTTGATGTTGAAATTTTATTATATTTGTATCACAAGAATCATATTTTGCAAGTTAATGTATAAAATTTTTTTCAAATATTTATAAATGCGCACCATATAATTCAAACTTATTATTAGGAAACGTTATATAAAAATATATTATATAAAAAGATTACACGTAAAAATTCTACTTAACAAATATTATATTATGTAAATATATATAATATTATTTTGTTTAAGAAGTAGATAATATTTATTAAGCTATTATAAATATATTATATAAAAATATTATATAAAATATTTATACGGAAAATTAATAATCAGCAAAAATATTAACCTTCGAATGTAAACTAACAATAAATTTCGTGATAAAAAAAATTTGTCAAAATATGAATACATATATGCGTGACTTCAAAATTGCATGACGTCATGGAGGGTTAAAAGCCAACCAGATTAATTTGAAATTCCTTTTCAGATTTATTTTCACTTCTTGAGAGATGACAATGATCACTAAATATATTATAAGTTTTCTAAAAATTTGGTATAAGTTATGTAACATCAAATGTGGTATAGATGACAATCTGTAGAATAAGATTTGAAGGGTGGAGAAGGGAAGGGGAAGGACGTTACCTCGAAATTTATTTCTGTAGGTTTTCGAGAAAAGAGGACGCCAGGGTTCCATTACATCTTAATGGAACTTTATTCGCGTGAACGCGCCAATGGCTTGTATCGCTAATCGGTTAGGCCTAATTACTAAAATTGGATTAGAGGCCGATTGCCCAGTAGGACAACGCCGACGCTTGATGTTAGGTGTTATCGAAAATTCTGTGATTCCGCATATGGGTAGACTTATAAATCGTAGCCCTTTTATTTTTTAACAATTTTTTTATAAGCGATCAATTAAATCATTTTTATTACTTTTGCAATCACTATATTATATATAATGCAAATGATTACTTTTACTGATAAATCCAATTCTTTTCTTTTAAAGAATTTTTTTGACCGATCAATTAAACAATTTGTATTCTTTTCATAATCATACTACATATATATACGATATATATATATATATTTATTATATATCAAATGAGAGCTTATAAATATGATATAAACATTAAAAATGGCTGACAACAAATTCGAAGGATGTAATGGTAAACAAGAGACAAATAGATAAATGGTTAGTTAGGTAGATAGGTAAATATATAGATGTTTATTAGAATGTTAGGCAACGTACGATAGACCGTTTTAGCTACCCAATTGAAAATGCAACGTGACGAGAAGGAAATCAGAGAAAAAAAGAAAAAGAAAAAAGATACAACGAGAAAAAGAAAGTGAAAAAGAACAAGAGAAAGATTCGTACAAAGTACGAATTGATTATTGGCGGAGTCTATTGAAAGAGAATAAAATCATTGTAAACAATAGGGATACGCCCTTTAACGTTGCACATTATAGAAATCGCTAAAAATAAGAATTTCGAGCGCGTTGCCAATTTTCAACAAATATCTTGGTAGTGGAGGTCCGATGAAGAAAACGTCGTCGTCGTCGTCGTATTCGTCGTCCGCAGTTTTCCTCGGCATGCAAATAAGTGTGGACGGTAAATTTGTTTTCTGATGAAGGAAAAATTACAGAACAGGAGAGGACAAATAAAAGAAAATACAAAAAAAAAATTGTGTGCGTTCGAAGGAAGGAAAGGAGAAGTAAATTTTTTTTTTTCGAAGGAAATGATCGCCGTTTATGAAGAAGGAAGATTATTGATAAGGAATCGACAAGGATATGTGGAATCAATTATAAGACCGGGTTTAATTTTATTTGATAATAATGATCGATGAAGAAAATTAAGAAAAAAATTTATAGTGAAGATCTACAAAAAGAAGGATACATTTCTAACGGGGGAAGGAGAAAAAAACGAGAACATGCGTTGTATAGGATTATCATCGTAGTGCGACTTTGAGTGTTATGTGTCATTTATCCGTCTATCATCTTCTATTCCTATATTTCTCTCTCTCTCTCTCTCTCTCTCTCTCTGTCTCTCTTTGTCTCTCTCTTTCTCTTTCTCATTCTGCCGTGATTGCCAAGAGCAAGGAACAATAAGGATAGGCCGCTAAACCTACGGAGAATCACTACGAGTCTGCCAAAAATAACAAACTGATTTAACTGACTTGCCAAATTTGAAGGAACATTCTTCGCCGAGATACGTATCGGAGGTGTTGTCTCTCAATATAATCGTTTTCTTATCTATCTAGAACAATTTTTTTTAAGAGCCAACCATTAATGATATATCAAACATTTTGATAACGAAGACGATCGATCGGTTGAAAAAGGCAAAGGGAAAAAAGGATGTGCGATTTATCGACGAAAAGTATCAAGCAAAAGTTGGAAAACTGGAGAAGTTCGTCGTCGGTGACTTGACGATTTTAATTAATCGAAGTCGTCCCATCTTTTTTAAATCTCTTGGGAGAATATTATCAGCTTTCATGCCGGCCGTTCTCCTTAATAGGGCATACTTTGTCTGTAATGATGACTACATTGTGAGTGTAAGCTTGTTGCTTACTCATAAAAATTTCGTTCTTATCTAATATCATTCTAACAATAAATTTTTTTTTATTTGCTTTCTTCTATAAATTTTTTTGATCTTGTACACGGGTGTATATTCCGTCTTATATTGGTATATATATATATATATATATATATATATATATATATGTATATGTATATATATATATGTATATGTATATATATATATATAAAACTTCGTTTATACTATCCAATATCTAATGATGATTTATTATATCCTCCATCTGTTTAGATGACTAATTTTTAGCTATGAGTGCGTCTAATTTTAAATGTTCTTTGCATCATCCATTCCAGTTGTCGTCATCGTTATCATCTTTACTATTACCATCATCATCATTATCATCATCATTATCATCATCATCATCATCATCATGATCGTCATCGTCATTATAATCATCAATGATAATATCGATAATAATATTAAGTTTCATAATTTATATTAAACATAAATTCAAATGTATTTTGATCGTCATCTCTAATGAACCGCACAAAATTCTAAACGATAACGAGTTTCTTATCATAAATGATAGGCTATATGTTTAACGTAGGATAAATGATAATATATCGCTTAAAATTACATATCGCTCGTTGTTATCTCAGCGTTTAATTTTGGAATAGATAATCGAGAAACCTCTCTATGGGATCATCGATCGTATAAATGTGTAATAGTTGAATACTTCCTATCATATGTTTGAGACACATATAACATAATATAAGTGTGCAAAACGTTTCAAATCGCAACATCGACAAATTTAATAGAAAAATTTATTTTAATCCGAAATCTCTAAATTTGTTTAAAATTTATATTCTATACTTATTCGATCGTTATTAAAATTTTTTTCTTTTTCTATGATCAATTTCGAAGCGATAAAAATCAAAAAAAGGTGAAAAAAGTGATCGTATCGTGGACGATGATCGAGATTTCTCGGTCAATAAGCGAAAATTAAAGATAAATAATATTTGTTGTTTCGTTATATCGTGATCTTAATTATTAGAAGATTTCAGCGGATTAGATAAAAATTTGTTAGATCAAAAAATATTTGGTAGATCGAAATCAAATAGGTATATGGATGAAATTTGTCGACAGTTCCGCGCCAAATTTGCAACGGAACACAATCGGTTCGTTTTGTCAATTAGTAATAATAATTTTCTTTTTTTTTTTTTTACTCATGTTTATATTTAAAGATATAAACAGAGTAAACGTGCATGTTAGAAAATGATTGAAAGATCTATCAATGTGCTTTTAAAAACAAACATGATTGAAAGTTAGTTTTTTTTACTTTCTTCATTTTTTGTTTGTTCGTTTGTTTTTTTATGTAATAATAAGCACAAAAGCTTCATTGTATTTTGTTTATCCTTTCAGTATTTTTTCGGTTATGATTTGCATGTGAAGAGAAAAATATATTGTAATATATCTCAATTCGATATTCGTTCGATTTTTATACAGATGTATGGTCGCTATACGAAGGACCTTGGTGAATACGCAAAAGAAGAGGCAAGAAGACTCAAATATCATGATAAGGCAAGAAAGAAGTACGACAAAACGAGGGCCGAAGATCTTCGAAAATCTCGAAGAGGTCCATTGTGTAGAAAACTCTTGGCCTTGCTTGCCTTCGCTTGGAAACACACAGGAGCTAGATTGGGCGAAGATTGGGTATTTCTAGCGCTTTTGGGTGTTATCATGGCACTCATAAGTTATGCCATGGATCGTGGGATTTCAATGTGCAACAACGGTTAGTCCAATTATATCTAATATATGTATAATATCCATATAAATATAATATTTAAAAATATAATATTTAAGAATATTTAAAAATTATACCCATTTTCATATATACGTATACCTAAGTATTCGCAATAATCTGTTTGTTTATTTCACCAGCTAGAATATGGCTCTATCAAGATCTGACGTCTCATCCGGCGCTTCAGTATCTCGCTTGGGTGTCATTGCCCGTTTGTCTGATTTTATTCAGTGCTGGTTTTGTACATATCGTGGCACCACAGAGTATAGGCTCTGGTATACCAGAAATGAAGACGATTTTAAGAGGTGTAGCTTTGAAGGAGTATTTAACTTTCCGGACTTTAATAGCAAAGGTCAACATTTTGCAATTTTGTTTAATATTAAGGACAAACTGTAACTGATTGATTATTAATCGTTTGTTTATGAATAGGTGATCGGTTTAACAGCCACTTTGGGCTCAGGCTTGCCACTTGGTAAGGAAGGTCCATTTGTCCATATCGCCAGTATCGTTGCGACTCTGCTATCAAAATTAGTCACCAGTTTTCAAGGCATTTATGAAAATGAAAGTAGAAATTGTGAAATGTTGGCTGCAGCCTGTGCGGTTGGTGTCGCATCATGTTTTGCAGCACCCATCGGTGGTGTCCTCTTCAGCATCGAAGTCACCACAGTTTACTTCGCAGTACGGAATTATTGGCGTGGTTTCTTCGCTGCCGTTTGTGGTGCCACGATGTTTCGACTCCTGGCTATATGGTTTCAAAGAGAAGAAACTATCACGGCCATGTTCGTCACTAATTTTACCATGGACTTCCCGTTCGATCCTTATGAACTTTTTGTGTTCGCTCTTATTGGTGTTGGAAGCGGTTTGAGTGGTGCATTTTATGTATGGTTGCATCGACAATATGTTATATTTATGAGAAAAAATAAGAGTATGAACAGTTTCCTTCAGAAAAAGTAAGATTTAACTTTTTGAGCATTATTTGAAATTTTATAACAAATTTTTTATAGAGATTAGATAACTTTTTTCGATTATATTTTTTTTCTAGTCGCTTTTTATATCCTGGTATCGTATCCCTTCTGGTATCATCAGTATCCTTCCCATTGGGATTAGGTCAGTTCATGGCAGGGGATTTGAATACTCACGATCAAGTATTTGGGCTTTTCACAAATTTCACGTGGACGAAGGATAACTTGGGCGTCGAAGAAAACAACATAGTCAAGCATTGGTCGACCCCATACACCGACGTCTTTATCGGTCTCCTGAGCTACGTTCTCTTCACTGTAAGTAAACAATAGTAACGTGTATTATAACTTCTATTGTTCTTTAAGAGAGCTCGTATATAAGGGAATATTATGAATGCAGTCAATAGAAAGAGTGGGATTCGATTCCAGTTCATCTTTTCCATCATAAGTTCGACAGTGCCTGTACCGTCTGGCATTTTCATCCCGGTTTTCAAAATCGGTGCAGCACTTGGAAGAACCGTTGGCGAGGCTATGGCTCTTTGGTTTCCACATGGTGTTCGATATGGTGGAATTATCACTCCCATCATACCAGGTATATAATCGTCAGATATATATTATCTGTTAACTAATATTACCTATGTATTGTATTTTATCGATAAATAAATAATAGATAAATCAAAACATGAAATTTATGTGATTTATTTAGGTGGTTATGCTACTGTAGGAGCAGCTGCTTTTTCTGGTGCCGTAACACATACCATATCCGTAAGCGTTATCATTTTCGAAATGACAGGACAAATCACTCATATAGTACCAATAATGATAGCAGTTTTAATCAGTAATGCGATCGCCGCACTTTTACAACCAAGCATATACGATAGCATTATACTTATCAAAAAGTTACCTTATCTACCGGATCTTCTGCCGTCGAGTTCAGGTATGTTTTTCTATGTATTTTTATTTATTTTTTTCTTATCTTTCATTCCATATTATCCTCTTCCTATAATATATCCTTTTTGATCATATTCATAATTCATACAATTATCTCATAAAGCATTCCCTTTGGAGTCATTAAAAAGGTAACATTATAGCTTTAATTAATTTCTTTTAATGCGTATCTATCTAAGAAGCTTTAAAAATAATATATGATGATCCTCAGGTATGTATAATGTTTACGTCGAAGACTTCATGGTTCGTGACGTGAAATACATTTGGCACGGCATCACTTATCAAAGACTCAAAGAGATACTTAAGGAGAATCGTAAACTTCGTGGCTTTCCACTGGTAGATAATCCAGAATCAATGATACTATTGGGTTCAATTCAAAGGCTTGAATTGATCAAATTAATAGAAAAACATATTGGACGTGAAAGGAGATTACAAGTATGACACTTTTTTAATTGTATATTCGAAGATTACTTTTAAACTTTATACAATTTTATTATATTTTTGTCGCATATTAGGTCGCACAAAAATGGCACAAAGAAGCAGAGGAAAGAGCAAGAGAAGAGATGGAACGTCAATTGAGAGAACAAGAAAAAACAAGGAGACCTTCCAGATTTGAAGTTATCCCAGCTCCAGACATTCTTAAAATGCAAAGGCAAAGTGTTAATGATCTAACGATGTCGGCAAATAACGGTGGTGGGCCGGATCATGTAAGTCGTGTTAACCTGACGTCAGACCTTAACCGATAAGTATATTTTAGGCAAAATATATTCATTATTTACGTATGAATAATTCATCGTTTATTTTAGCATACGTACCATTCACCGGTCTTCGGGACCCAACCAAAGAAATCTATTTTAAAGAAAACCAATTCCTTTACTTTGAAAGGATTTAGTCCACTAGTCAGCCCAGCTGTTACACCGTATACAACGGTTACTGGAGCAGAAAGCAGGTGAATCAATGTTATCCTTTCTTTCTTGATTATTATTTCAAGAATCTCAATTTATCATTATTAAAAGTCATTTTACTTAACAGAATACGTCTAGCCTTTGAAGCGATTTTCCGAAAATCGGCAACTTTGCAGGATGTTGATCCAGATCCAGAAATGGGTACTGCTACCAGACGTGAAAGTCAAGATTGCATAGATGCTCAGGCACATCAACCTATGCTTTCTTCTAGTCCAGCTACATCGAAAAAAGTACAATTGGCAAGTATTCTTCGATAAATTGACAAGTTATATTATTTCAATACACTTTTATTATTATGTATGATTTTTTTTTCAGCCAAGGGAGAGAGTAATCGATATGTCAGCTGAGGATCAGAAAAGATGGGAAGAAAGTGAGATGGCTCTCGAAGTAGACTTTTCCAGATGTCATATAGATCCAGCACCGTTCCAGCTTGTAGAAAGAACATCTTTGCTAAAAGTTCATAGTCTTTTTAGCATGGTTGGTGTAAACCATGCTTATGTGACAGCTATTGGAAGGTTGGTCGGAGTAGTGGCATTAAAAGAGGTTTGTTATAAACAAGACATATGATTATTGATATAGTTTGAGTCATTAGAGTAAATGGTATTATTATATTTGTCTGTTTTTTTTTTGTTCTTTTTTTTTTAGTTGAGGAAAGCTATAGAAGACGCTAACGCAGGAATTTTGCCGATGCACGCAGAATCGCATGTCGATGTGTCAAATTCCAGTTTAGTGAAGAGTGAAACTGATGGAGAAAATAAAAACGTCAGTGCAATGAACTCCGTTGTTTCGATTGAAAATGAAAAAGTTGAAAAAGTCTGAGAGAGAGAGAGAGAGAGAGAGAGAGACGCGAATGAACAGAAAAGTAAAGAAAGAAAAGAAAACAAAAAGAAAAAAATATGAAACAACAAATGTGATAGTCACGTTGCACGCCGTTGGTAGCGTGACCTGGAAGATGCACTTGCAAGATGCGCCTCTTTTACCTGTTACCCACATTATTCTTTTTTCTTTTTTTTTTAAGATCTTATATCTTCCTATGGTACATGTATAAGCAACAAGTTCTTCATCGCATAATGACAGTAACTTGCAAATATTCCTCTCGTACTTAAGTTTGAGGCGTACAAAACAGTTACTGATATATATATACATATACATATACATATATATATATATATATATATATATATATATATATATATACATATATACATATATACATATATACATATAGAAATGAGATTCTTTAAGTATTACATACTTTGATTTGGGCATTAATTTTTAATCATAATATTTTTCTAATTGAAGCATACATTACATATTCTTCAGTAATCTAAACGAACCAAATAGTTTTTGGTTTCTATCGCTTGATATCTCTAATTTGTACGTAGGGCTCGTCATATTGGAAAATTCTATCCAATTATCTATACATATCTATATATACATAAATATAGAAATATATATATATATATATATATATATATATATTATTAACAAAAAATTTTGAAATGACAAATTTATTTTAATGAGTACGTTTGAAAGATCACGATAACATATTTTTGGTCCTCTATTGATATAAGTGAATGTAGCGTAATATAAATATATGTAAACATATACGCGTTATATATATATATAGGTATATCAAAATGCATAAGCATGAGTGAGAATCCAAATGATTCGCGATGCAAACAAGAAAATCAAAACTGGAAAAAAACCGAAAAAAATTGTGAACGTTGATTATAAATATAATTCATTGTTAAAAAGGAATATATAAGAAATAATTTCAAAGTGATACATCATCAATGATTCTAAGCAAGGCTTCATGCTCAATATTGTATCGTGAATCACGATTTCCTTATTATTATAGGTAGGATATAATTTATATAATAATGTATTTTTTTATTTAATATAAAAACGGATAAAGTGATTCAAAGTGCCAAAGGCAGATGATTGTATCCTACTCTGTGAAGAAAGAAAGAAAGAAAGAAAGAAAGAAAGAAAGATGGAAAGACGGAAAGAAAGAAAAAAAAAATAAAACAAAAAAACTAAGCATAATTTAAATAAGAATATAATTATTTAAGTAGAACAAAGACAATATAGCACTCATGAAATGCTCCCTTAGCTCGTAACTATCTGACTATGGTTGTGCCAGACTATTATTTATTATAATTGTTAGATGTGTTGATTGAGATATAAGAAAAACATTCGCATCACACATGTTGATACATTAGTAAAGGAACATAAAGGTATGTCTTATTACAACGATCATGACATTAAATATATTCATAATAATTTTATACCTTTATTTTTTTCTCAAATGAGACAATTTTAATTACTTATACGCATTTAATTCAATAATATTTTTTTCTTTCTCTTTTTTTTTCTTTTCCTTTTTTAACTTTTTAAATAATAAACATGTACAATCGTTATGAATTAAAATCGATCAAATTATAAATGATCTGTTTTATCTTTTGACAAATAATGTCATGAACGTAGAATTAAGCTACCTTTAATGTTTTCTAATATAAGTCAACATTATAAACAAATAAAAAATCAAAACAAGACGCGCACAATAACATAATTAAATTTTTTAATCAGAATGGATAATCTATCTATAGATGTTACAATAACCCATAGATTCTAGAGCATTTTACATTCCATCCGACTATACTACTCTGATGCATTCTATCCTTATGAGAACAATTAATTAGTAAAGTTGTTCAAATTGATACGATAATAGCACTTCATAAATGCACTACTACGTTATTGTGAATAATTATTGTGAATAATAAAATGTTTATCGTGCTTACGTTTTCATTACGATATTCATGAAATTTAATCATTGTACTATACCCTATAAGACCAAACAAACAAACAAAAAATATTTCTTGTACAATATATAATGATATGACTTTAAAAAAATTAATTATATAAACAATAAAGGTTCTAGTGATGAATCTAGTAACAGAAAAAAAAGAAAAACAAAAAATATTAGATCTCGTTTTCATTGAAAAATTAATATACCTACTGTTCATTTTAACATTAGCGACCATCATTGTTATCATTACTGTATTGTATTATTATAAACAGAAACATAAATATACATAAGAAACATAAAATGTTTTATGTGATTAACTTAAATGTAAAAACTTTTCATAGCATACAACGCGTCCATCAGGACCATTCAATATTATAAATATCTATCTACTTAAGTTATCTTAACGTTATGGAGACATTATTTATTGAATGTAAACCAGCCATGTAAACACTTTGGTACAGGTCCCGGTGTATTGAAAGTAGCTCTGGCAAGTTCGACAAAAGTTTCGGCATTCAAAATCAATAAACCAGCTTGTGTCTCACGATCTTGACCCCACAAAAGCGCACTTAAAACCACTCCATCGTCCTCCTTCTATTAAATTACGTTAATGAATTATTCGGTTGCTTTTTATTATCAAAAAATGTTTACATTACCTTTCCGTGTGGATCGGGTACAAAAATTGGCTCACTGGGATAAACATTCTTTTCATACCATATTTTCTTCGTTTTTTTCACTGTGTCCACTTTGATGAGCTATAAATGAAATGATAATAAATCATGTAATTAACAAAAAAATTTCAATTTTTCTTTAATTCATTAATTTTTTATTTCTTTTCAATTACCGTCCCGGGATATTCTATATCAACGTCACTGGATATCGCATAAAAGTAACGGTACTCCGTTCCAACATATGAATCATAATTTATACGAGGCGTTTCACAGCCCAGATCGCAAAGAAGCTCCGGTTTAACGAAGATATTGCCATTTGGTAATTTGTGAGCTGTGGCTTTTCTTTCAAGAAGATTTTTACTGTGATACTCATTCTTTTTTTTGATTCCATTGTTATCTTCATTGAAATTATTCTCATCAATTAATTTATTGTTAGTTTCACTTTTCTCATCAAGTATGAATCCTTCAAATATTTCTGCACTCTGATAAACCGTTTTAACATTTATCAAATTATGTTCCAGAGGGATGTCGTTCGAAAATTTTTTCATTGGTAAAATGAAACGTAAGGGTCTCCCGCGAAATAATTTGGGGTAATCCGGATTCTTATGCAAATTCTATAATAAATTGCAAAGGATCATATAATTACTGATATAATGTTACTTTTTAATTTATCTATTTCATTTTTTTTTTATATCAATCTTATTTGGATATCAATCTACGTACCTTCATGGTTTCAACATACATACACTCCAACATTTTTGCATCTCGATAACAACAGATATCAAGAACGATATAATCTCTGTCACGAGTCTCAAATTGATTAATAATGTGTAGGTAGAAAAATTTCTCAGCAAAAAAAGTTCTCTCTACCAGACCAGTCTCTTTCGATAGAACGTGTATGAGTGTCTATAAATTTTTAATTAGATATTTATAAATACGATTATAATGATATTTGACTTCAATCAATATAGAAATCATATTCGTACGTCTTTATTTTCATGCCACTTTATGCAGCCTATCGTAGCTTCCTGTTTAATTTGACAAGCTATCATACTTGGAAGAGAAATGGCCAAAGGTTGTTCAATGATAATGAAATAATTTTCAGTAATGCCAAAAGTATGCATGTAGGAAGGATTTAGAAACCATCTAGATGGAACGGTAGCAACAATAGTTGCTTGATCGAACATGGTTAGTTCTTTTTCTTCACCAATTTCGTCTAAAACAAGTAAAAAATATAAATATTCTATAATAAATATATATATATATATATATATATATATATATATATTCTTATTTATATAAACATCTTTTCTATTAATTATTTTGTATTTTTTTTTCTTAAAATATATCGGGTTATATTCTAACATATAACATTTAATTCAAATTACCAATAGTAATTCGAGATGGTGAAAAAGAAACAACAGTGTAAGCAGGACCATGTGAAGTTATACTGAGCCCAACGTTATAAACAGTACCGTCGTTCATCACATGAGGATGAGAAGTATGACTGACGATATTTACATAATTTGACACGTTCACCTAAATTTTATAATAAAATTATTTTTATTATAATTCTATTTGTACACCCTACGTATATTTGGAGAAACGATAAAATCTTTTTATGCCTCTGACGTTACTTACTCTACCCTTGGTTTCCAAGGTTTCTGGATCGATCCGATGGATTATGGGAGATTCTGTGAACGTGTAATACTCGTCACCAAGTGGATAAACTGATATCATCGTGTTGTCAGAGATGCTTTCTGATGGATTAAATACTGCAGCAATTCTAAGTACAAAATAAATAACTTGTCAAGCACGTTTCATAAAGTTTTTTGTCAAATAACTTTAAATCATTATTCTTTTATTATTTCGTAGAAAATGAAATAAGAAACTTTATATATACCTCTTAAAAATACTTTGACAAGGATCTGGCACTGCTTTTGTACCAAATTCCGATACGACGATCCTTTGCGCTGCTTTATTTTTTTTATAACTCTCAGTTTGTACAAATCTTCTTTGATAAGTTATATTACCATCCAATATTTCAAATCTATAATTATATTATTTAGTTGATTAATTATTAATTAATTAAATATTAATTAACTAATAATATTAATTATTTTAAATAATATAATTAATTATATTATTTAAAAGTTTCATTGGAATCTCTGTAAAATTTGACAATCACATATAACATTTTCCTTACTAAAAAGTAGTAACTGTAATCGCCGGAGAAAATTTTGCATGAATTAAGAACTCTGGATGAAAGCAGCATAGTATATACTTATCCTGACACATTCATTTATAACTTATTATATATTAATTTTATTGATATCATTTGAATAAGAAACGAATCATTTTTTCATAATACGACAAGGTATGATATTTTACTTTTTTTCGTGGACAATTTCGCGATATTGCAAAGTAATAAAAATCTTTCGTAATTACCTGTGCAAAAGTGCTGAACTGTCAAACAGATGATTGAAAGTATAATCTCCCACTTTTAAACTACCAGGACCATTTCTCAATAAACTACCTTTCAACCACTTTGGTACTGTACCAACAACATTTCCAGGAATCGGATCGATCACTTCATATTCACACGATCTTGTCCACGTAGATGTATCACAATTCGGCCAATAATTCTTTTCATCTTCAGTAACATCGTCTTCTATCAAAGTATCATTGTTGATCTATAAAAATCAACGATCATTTTATTTTTATACATTCGATCGTACGTATCTTGAAATTTGATGTAGATATACGTATTCACGCACGATATTCTTTTTATTATATATTCATTTTAATTCTTACACTTATATCAAAAGAGGTGTTAGACGTTTTCATATATTTCTCGTTTATAAGATCATCGATGACATTTAAAGAACATAGATCGGCAGTAGATCGCGATCGACGATAACTCATACGTTTCATATTTTTGATAGATATAGTTTATAAAAAAAAGATTGTTTTCAAAACAATCACAATAGTCAATCACAATAATCAAAAAAGTCAATAGGAGCACAATATTTATATGTCGAAGAGTTTGGCACTTGGACTTTCTTGTATTGTTAATTTAAAAAACGCATCACGCCCGCGAACACAGTAGTTTCATTTATTTCAAAGAGAAAAGAGACAAAAAAAGAGACACAAAAAAAATGGAAATTTTATTTGTATTTCGCAAATTTATGCTTCCTCGTCACCGTTCTCGTCCGTCGGCAAATCCGCTTCGAGCGGCTCCAAAATAGAGGACAGAATCTGATATACTCTTTTGTGGGTGAAGTCCATGATCAACGTGGAAAGTACGCGAAATGAATAACACTATTCTTTTGACCTTAAAACATAGACCCCCCTTGAATCTGACTTGATTGATTTAAAAGATAGTATTGTTTACTGGAAGCCACACATAATCGACACGTGCTTTTTTTGTCGGGTTTCAATTTGCACGTGCACGTATTGAATATTCTTACACGTGTATTAATAAATAAAATAAAAAAAACATTTGGCTTCTCATTTACATTGCTTTATTTACCTA